TTAAAAGAGAAGCTTCAATAAACTTTGTGTGCGTAACATTAGATGAACATATACGCTGGAGTATCATCATATAAAAAGCATTGAGAAAAAAATATTAAAAAACACTACAATGATATATAGGGCTAAACCATTTCTAAATAATAAATTTTTAAAAAGTTTATATTTTTCTTTTATTCATTATTATTTGATTTATTCTAATATTGCATGGGCAAGTGCAAATCATACAAAATTTAAAAAAATTGTACAATAAACAAAAACACGTGTGCAAAATATTATTTGAAGCTGATAAAATTGTACGATGCGAGCCTCTTCTACGTATACTTGGCTCATTAAACATTTATGAAATCAACTTGCACCAAGTTTAAATGTTCATGTATAAAATAAAGATGGGAATATCTCCTAAAATATTTCAGTTCTATTTTGAAAAAATAGCATAAAAACCCGACAAAATTTTCAGATAATAACTACATTGTCCCTAAATATAATTCAAAACAAATTATATATTAAATCAACATCGTGGACCTTATTTGTGGAAAAAGTTTCCTAGTACTGCAAATACGAAAAAAGTTAGTATACAACAGTTTATAATACCTGTTGTATAATAATACCTGTCAGCTATTATCACTTATAGATATTAACATATCCGATTTTAAATGTTTCTTTTAAACTAAAGTTAAATTATATAAAATATGTCTCAGAATTTATCAACTTTTTTTTCATTAACTCAGTTATGGTGTTTCCTCTAATCTTAAAAGTTATTGTTTAAATCTAATCTGAGTTAAATATTCTTTTTTTTTAACTACCAATGAATTGTTATTTTATTTTACTTTTATACAATATGGTTTTAAAATATACTTAAATACTACGGTTTTTGTAAATTAAGTACTCTTTTATTTTTAATTTTTTGTTCTTTATTTAAATATTACTTTATTACAAATTATTATATACTTTATTTTTATATTTTTTAATAAATACTTTGTATAATATAGTATGGCTCTAGTAAACACGTGCTCTTTAATTTAATTATTTATTTTTTGTTTTTGATTTTTTCTTTTCTTTCGATTTTTCTAGTTTACTTGATTATTACTTTACAAAGTATAAATATATTATACGGTTATTGTAATTACGTACGATTGGGGCTCGGTGATAAGACAAAACAATGTCTTCTACTTGCCCCGCCAGTGTTTTCATTTATTAACTTTTTAATTGTGATGGTTATTAAACGGCAAAATAAACAAACGAACAAAAAATAGTTTTTATGTAAAGTTTTTTATGTTAAGTTTTACGTTTCATTTGTATATAATTGTTTTAACAGAAAAATTGTATTTGTACTTCACCTAACGATTCCAATAGCATGAAACTAAAAGTTTTGAAAATAACGTTGTCTTATTTTCTAAATATCTTCACGATCATTTCACAATCGCCTAAGTCATTTTTTCTTGTTTTGAGAAAACTTAAAAAAACTGAATAACTTTGTTATTTCTACTGCTACGTCACTTTAGTAGATCTCGTGAAATCTTCTAAGTTAGATATTTACATATTAGTTTAAAAATGTTTTGTATATAACCATAATTTGGATTATTGGGCTTATTTGGATTTAGGTGATAGGTATCCTTAAAAATGACTGAGGCAAATGACTTAGACAATAAAACAAGTTTATCAAAAAACTATTGAATATTTAAACTTCTGTATTTTAAATTTTATAACTATGAGTTTCTGGTATGTATTTTGTATATTTTGTTGTTGATTTGAATACGAGCCAGCCTTTTCGCCAGGGCTGTGGAGTCGGAGTTGCGACATTTTTAGCGGAGTCGGAGTCGCTAAACAAAATCGCGACTCCGACTCCAATAGTAAAATTTCCCGGTATTACACGTGCATGTACAACACATTTAATTAACCTTATGTTAATACTAAGAAAGAACGTTTCTTAAATTTGTCAAAAAAGAAATTTTTAACTTTTTGCGTGATATTTTTTTAAGAATTCAAAGAATTTTTTAAAAATTTTCCTTTGGAGTTGGAGCCGGAATCGGAGTTGTGCTCAAAAAATTTCAACAACTGGAGACGGAGTCGTTACTTTTTTTACGACTCTACACCCCTGCTTGTCGCAGTGGTTGAAGCGCTATTTTTAGAATCGGTAGGTATAAGCTTCTTAGAAAACTTATTGATTGTTAATTAAAAAAAAAAAAATTATTTACAAAAAAAAAAAAAAAACGTTAAAAATACAGACCAGATAATCGGTTAAAAATTAAAATCTATACAATAGGTCGAAAAATAAATCGGTCATAAATAGGTGGAAAATAAAAAAGACTATAATAGGTTGAAAACAATTTAGGTCTCAGTAGGTTATTGAAATTAGTTCCACTTTTTAGTAGATGTTTTTTTTGTAGAACAACTAAGTAGGTCAAAATTTTTGTTGGTCTAACTATCTGATACGCTTAAATGATAAGCGTATTTAAAATAAATTTCCTAGTTATTCAATGTTTTAATTTAAGACAACTTGTTCTAGTTACAGTATTGAATAACTGATATAACTCATTGAAATAAAAGTGCATCATAAAATGCATGAAAATCTTTGGGTAAGATAGCCTTCATACTTTGAAGATAATCAAACTTTCTTTTGCTGATAGGTCTACGGCTCATATACATAGGGAGCCATTCAAGAGTGTTCTGGATGCTCTTGAAACAACTAAGTAATGACTTCTACTCATTAGAATTTCTAAAAAGTTTGTATTCAACATAACCATCTGGGTGATACCAGAGCATGTTAAGACTGATAACTGTGCGATCTCTAACTATTTTACCTGGTCTAATACTGGTAAAGTAGTTTTTTTAGTTTTCTAAACTCATTAATTTCCGTCTGCTTCACAAAATATGGCTTAGGATTTTGCCTGGCAGTTTGGATCTTGACAGCTACATATCTGGGAGTGTATACATTACGCACAAAGTTTCTCTCAATAACACTGTGCATGACATCACATTCCATGTTGGTATTGCCAGGAATCAGGTACTTTTGATATATATTTACACCTGTCTTTTTTGATAAGTGGTGGTAAATGTTTGATAGCATTTTTGTTCTAGTATTCACATCCATCACTCCATATTATTAGTTCCTTAATGTTATAGTTTGCATTAAGTATGTTTTTGAAGCGTGTGTATTGCAAATATGCAAATAACTCACTTGATGTATCGCCTTTAGTTTCATCCCAGACATAGCAATACCCGTCTCGGTTACACAATTTATACAGTGTAAAATTGCGATTTTGTCTTGTAGTACAAAGTACAAATGATACAGTGGAAAACCTGCAATTTTGTCTAGTAGTACAAAGCACTTGCTTAACTCTAAGGACAAAGAAGTACAGACTGAGTTTCCAGAGTCCAAACTGACACACTCTCATCCATTAATCTTCTTTCTTTATTTTCATCTATTTGTTTTCTAACCTCATTCTTCAAAACTAAATGAGCCTTGTTTTAAAAACACCTTCCATTCCCGCAAGATATCCATTTTTGTACTTTGAAGAGACTAATGTGATACTTGTATCGCTGCAAAAATGAGCAACTAAAAACTAATAAGTTTTTACTTGAACAATCAAATTTAAATTGATTTAATCAAATTAAAACGTTTATTTTCCGCTTTAGCGTACAAAAAATGATTATACTTCTTAGCAAATGTTTTTGCTATTTTTTATTTTATTTACAATAGGTAGTCTCTTTTTTCAAACCCCTATTCCGACGTCGAGCATCCTTGACGTCCAAAATCCGGGATTTTTTGGGGTTAGGCAAATTGGGAAACAAAAGGATAGGCGCATTGCAGTGTACATACATCGACTGATTTATATAGCCATAGGCACAGTGAGTGTACATACATCGAATGAGGGTTTGGATAGGTTGTCTTGAACTGAAAGATTAATCTTTTTCATGTTTGCAGACTTAAAGGAGACCGTCAGAATAGAGGTTTGATATGAGAGCTTACCTTTACATTGTGTTACTTTAATTAACTATGCGAATTATTGTTATGTAGCATTATAGTTATATGTCGCAATACTATTATAATATACAAGAAACGAAGAGTTGCGATTAAGTTTCCTTGTTGCAATATTGGTAAAATATTTATTTTAATGTTGGCTAAATCATTTTAACAATATTGCGCAAATATAAAATGTCCACATTTTGATATATATATATATATATATATATATATATATATATATATATATATATATATATATATATATATATATATATACATATATTCAGTAAATATCGATTTACAATATTGGTTATATATAAACTGCAATACAATGCCAACACATTTTTTTATCATAATCAATGTAAAAGATCAATAATCTTATCAATAATCTAAATCTAATCAATAAATCAATTATCTAAAAAAAAAAAAAAAAAAGTTAAAAAATCAATACAATACAAAAGTAAAAAAAAAAAATACCCTGAGGAGGAATTGAACCCGCAACCCTGTTAGCCGTGCCTCAAAATTATACACCTTTTACTTACTCTTTTAGGACTAAAGCTATCATATCAACGAAGAGAAAAATTACAGGATTTAAATATTTTTTTGCGTACAAATAAGGTTTTTATTATGTAAACACTATTTGTACGAGCATACATGAACAATATTGCAATGAGAATATTATTTATATAAACGTACAAATAAAGGGCTCCTAGAAATAAAACATTTAAATTTACAAAAAAAAAATCTCCCTGAGGAAGACTTGAACCTCCAACGCTATCACTCGCGCCTCAAAAGAAGAGCGTTATTTGCGCACACAACAATACGAGAATATATTGATGACGTAACAAATAAAAAATTGTCGACAAGTTACTTTATGAAAAGTTCTGGTCAAGTGAAAGAAAAGATTATAGAAATTGGCTAGAACTAGCCAAATACGTGGTCAGTTTGCCCTATACTAATTCGAATTATTTCCAATACGAAATACGATCGCAATTACTAATTATTTTTTAAATAAAATAAATAAGGAGCTTTGTACACAAATATACCAATCAATTATTTATTTTGCCTTAAAATAGTCTATTTACACAACTTCAGTTCTTCACCTGCTTTTTCTTATTTGTCTGATGGTTTTTTACTTTTTTACCCGAGATGACATTTTTTTTTTTACTTTTGAAGCTTTGAACACGTTTTTTTTCTTTTTGGTGATCCTTTGATGAAAAATTAGTTATTTTCCGTTTTTTTGGTTTATTCTTCAACAAATCTAAAACATGACATTAAGATTTTCAATTGATAAAAACAAAAATGAAATTTACTTTGACATCATGTTTAAAAGTTAAAAAGGGAATTGATTTCAATTTTTGCTCTTAAAAGACAGAAATGACGGTTTTATGTTGGCCTTTTTTTAATTTTAGTTAAGATATTTTTTAAGGTTGAACAGTCCAGACTAAAAGTTTTCAAAAAGTCAAAAAATAAACCTTGTTCTGGTTCTTCACCAACTTCTTTTTTAAAGTATTCTACATCGTCATCTTCACTATCAGATACTTTAGGATCTACAAAAAATTATTAAACAAAAATAACAAATTAAAAAATTAATAAACAAAAAAAATTATAAAAAAAAATATAGTGAGTACTAAAGTTTTAGAAAATGAATATCAAAAACAGTTAATAGAAATGTATTCACCTTCCTCATTACTAAGTTCATTATTCTCAACATCTTCTGCCTTTCGTTTCATGCCAGCTAAACTACGGGATCTAAAGATTTATCAATTGCATAAATTAAGAAAGTTATCAAAATTAAAAGAATCAATTCGAAATAAATTAAGGCAGTAATTACAATCACTTTCACGAATGACAATGGAAATATCATTAACAACAGTCGTTGAAAAAGCAAATTGCTATTAATGAACAAGTAAGTTAATATAACTTACTTGTTCTCTTCTTTTTCTTTTTCTTTTTTAATAACATTGGCTTCTTGTTGTTTCTTACGCATCTGTTTCAATGACCTAAAAAAAAAAGTGTAATATAATAAAAGCATGTTTGAGTGGGCGAGTAATAACCATATTTTTTTGAAACATTTTTGATAAGCTATTATCCTATACTAAAAGTCTTATCCTATACTAATATACAATCGAGGATTGTATATTAGTATAGGATAAGACTTTTTATACAAAAGCAACATATAACCAACATTAAACTAAACAACAACAAAAAATAAGACAAATAACAAAATTTTCTTGTTTTTTACAGGTTGATGAGTAATCTTGCTTCTTTCACCAACTCCTTTCATAGATAACAGTTTAAGTAAATAAAATAAAAATAGGCGTGTTATTGCCAATTGCATTAATCACCCACACCAGTCACAAATAAACTTTTTGCAATAAAACATGAAATATTCTACTTCACATTTAAAACTTATAGCAGGGGGTTTTTTAAATATATTCCTATGTGATGCAACTGGAACAAAACACAGGTAGTTTTGGATAACTGATAAAATAATGAAATCGAACATGATAGACTATTTCAATGTCTAATTTTTTCACTCCATTTAAACAACTCTGTTTATATATGTATTTAAATTGACTGATGAATAAACTTCTGGCTATACATCTTTTAAAAAAGAAACTGAGAAAAAAATATCACAAGACTTGACTAACTTAGCAGTAGTTCTTTTCAAAAAAGTTTCACTTGTAACTCCTAATAATATCTTTAATGAATCAATCTCAGACCACAAATTTCTTTATAGTATCTGTTGATTTATTCAATAAGGTTTCAAATAAAATCAAAGTACTTAAGTGGTTACAACTATTATGCAAGGTGGTTCCGACAGGGTGGTTCCAAATCAAATTATATTATTTGGCAATTAATGTTGCTTAAAAAACTTGGTGTATTGCATAATTAATTAGAAATTAATGATATACAATATAAGGTTGCTTAAAAAAATTTTTTATTTAACTAATCTCAAAAATTTTTTATTTAACTATTCCCAAAATTTTTTATTTGGCCATCCCAAAAATATTTTATTTAGCCATCCCCGAAATTTTTCATTTAGCCATATCAAAAATTTTATATGCATCCAGTAATACAAATAAACACAATAATCATTTTACCTACAACATTGGGAAACTACTGTAAAATTGGTAAATATTGATAATAATAATAATAATAATAATAATAATAATAACAACAACAACAAGTTTCTTTATTAAAAAACCATTTAATTAACGGTTACTTGTTAACAAACAACTCTATTTGGGCTCTTACAAAAACATTTTGTTTATTAAACACTTTAGCATCACAAATGAAAGTAATGAAATGGATAATAGCCGAGCAGCAGTAGCGCAGTGGTTGGCTCACATGTCTTAAAGATAGAGATCCGTGGTTCAACGCCACCTCTGGGCAGTTTTAATAACATTGGTGAAGAAGGAGGTGTGAACTTCATTTCAAATACTCTTTTGCAGTGCTCTGTGATAAGACCATAAAGACTTCTTGGAGCATGTAAAATAATTAATTCAAATATATATATATATATATATATATATATATATATATATATATATATATATATATATATATATTATATATATATATATATATATTATTATATATATATATTATATTTATATATATATACTGTTGGAGAAATAAACTTTGTCAGGTTATTTTAGAAAAACATGTTTTTGATAAATACTTTAATAATTTTTCTAAAATTTTATCACAATTTTGTATAGCAAAAAAATAATCAACGGTAATAAACTTGCATTGCTAAAATTTAACGATTTCCAAAGGAGTGTTAAAACTTCAACAAAAAATAATTATCCGAACGTGTTGTTTTGTAAACGAAGTTTTGAAATTGATTATTAAAAAAAGTTTTTAAATCAATAGTTTATAGAAATGTTGCTGTTTTAAAGCGAGTAATTTTTAATAATTGACTGATATTTTTTTAAATTCATTTGATTTACCATTGATATCATGTATGGGAGTTAAAAAATCTGTCAAAAAATGCGTGACGTAATTTATGGACGATCCCTAAAGAGCAAAACTTCTTAAATGTAATCTTAATTTTGTAAATGTTATCTAGAGACCCCCAGCACTTTAAAACTGATATAATTTTTTTCCCTACTATGATTTTTGAGCTTAGTATGTTTTATTTTAACACAAAAATGGCTATATCTTACTTTTCAAATATTATATATTTTTTTATATATCATATAAAAAATATATATTTTATTTTTATATGATATATAAAAATAAAATATATAATTATATATTCAATTTTTATATATCATATAAAAATAAAATGTAAGGCCATCAAGACAATTTTACAACATTTTAATTTCTTAACGGTTTACATTAATCCATCAATTGTATATTGAAATAGGAAGAAGAAATATCAAAATTTATTTTTTATGTTTGCTTTGAAAAGTGGTTTTCGATAAAACCTCATAAAATGCGCAACATTTTTTAAACACACCATTTTTACGCAAGCAGAAAAATACTAGGCTGCACATTAGGGTGGAGTGAAAAAACCTCTTTTTAGAAATTCATTTGAGCTGGGTATGGAAAAGTTGCCTTTGGGTACAAAATGAACTGTGGTAAAAGCATTTTGCCCTAGATTAATATTTAGGTCTGCCCCAAGGCACTTGAAAATTTGAGTTTTTTGTTAATTTCGCAATTTTTGGTTTAAAAAATAATAATTTCCTATCATTGCAAATTCATGTTGGCTGGGTATGCAAAAGTTGCCTTTTAGTTCAAGGTAAACTGTGGTAAAAGCATTTTGCCCTAGGTTAGTTTTTAGGTCTGCCCCAAAGCTCTCGAAAATATGGGTTTTTTGTCCATTTTGTGGTTTTAGGCAAAAATTTAATAATTTCCTATAATTGCAAATTCATGCTGGCTGGGTATGCAAAAGTAGCCTTTGAGTACAAGGTAAACTGTGGTTAAAGCATTTGGCCCTAGGTTAATAATTAGGTCTGCTCCAAGCCACTTGAAAATTGAGTACTTTAATTTAAATCCATACAAAACCAATTTCGTACATATTTCAGATTGTTTATAGGCATATTAAATAACATTACAAATGTATAATATATCCAAAAACTTGTGTTGAAAGTTTTTGTCTTTGATCTCGATTCCAGTGTAGCACGAATCATTCCATCTCTGCAATCAAAACCGCAAACAGTAGCTGATGCTTCAGTAACTAGCTTAACGTGTCTTTTAGTTGACTGAGTGTGACATGGAAACTCTGGAATGTTTAAAACTGGTTCAGTCAATGAAACACCATTTACAAATGACTTTATTTCATGAGTTGAGATGTTCTTTGTAGCAGGGGGCTCGCTTTTCTGGACAACACTCCAGTTGATTAGATTAGTGTAGTCATCTGCTTCGAAATTAAGTTTCGGCACACGAAAGCGTCTTAGTGACTGACTGTTTTTTTCCCTTGCACCAAGGATTCTTCTGAATGCTAGTTTCCTTATGTGTTCGCGCTCATCAGTCAACATTGCAAGTAGGATGTTTTCATAATGACTGAAATAAGCATTTCTCTGAATTACCTCATCCACAATACATCTTAAGTCATTTTTAAGGTACCTTGAAAAGTTTATCATTCTCCATAGATGGAGTGCCCCTTGAGTACAAGATGATTTCGTCTTGATATAAAACCAAGTAGGAGCGTAAACTTTAACAACAAATGTTGCAAGAGTCACTAGATTTTCAGTTGGATCTTCCATCGAAACATATAACCGCAGAACTCTGCTAGCTGTTGTCAGCCAGCGCGAGTGAACTACAGGACCTGGAGTCTTATTTGCCAGATTTATTGGGCATTCACCATTATTCACTGCATGGCACATTTTATATAAATATATTTGATCTGTGCTTAAATCTTTAAAACTTACATCTGGAAAACTATTTATCTCTTTTTTTTTTTTTTTTTTTTTTTTTCTATCTAGGCCAAGGCCCTAGAAGGAAGATTTTATTTTATATATATATTTTTTTTATGTTAACCTGAACTAATGAAGTAACTCTTGGATGTGACTTCTTAGCGTTGGAAATATTATTATTTTTTAATTTCTAGTATAGATTTTTAATGATATGTATAAGAATATTTTTAGTTGTAGGTTAAAACAGGTACTTGAATTTAGTACCAGTCATTTCGGTGCTTGATGTTGTTGTTTTGTTTATTTCGCTCTAATCTTGCTGCCTCTCTTTCCTCTCTTCCTCTTTGACGTTGCTCATATTCGTATTGCCTTTCTTGCTTCTCCTTTGCGTATTCAGCTCGTTTGTATCTCACAAATATTTTTAATTCATCTTGGGTACAGTCATGTTCATGAAAACTATTTATCTCTATAGTTGAAAAATGCTTTACAGAGAAAGTTTCACAGATTGGAAGTAATTTACCAATTGGACCTGAGAAAGCTTTTGGTCCACTTGTGGTGCCATCTAACTTGCACAAAAGATGTCTAAAAGGGAGCTCATTTGCATGAAGCATGCAAATGAACCAATGCAAAGGCCTATCGAGTTTCATCTCAAGTAAACGGATGACACCTCCCAACGCACCAGTGTTGACATTTGTGCCATCACAACCGACAGCTACTAAATTGTCTAGTGAAATTCCATTCAAATCACAGAAATCTACTATGCCATATGCTATCTTAACTGATGTTCCATTTTCAGGGCTTATGTGACCGACATATATTGAATGGGGCTTTTGAGTTAGTGTAACATGTTCTTCTGTGCATTTTTGTTTTGTTCTTCTTACCATCGAAGTACAAACCTGTTAGATTAGAGGCAAGGTGGGATTGAAGTTCATTTCTAACCTTCTGTCTTTCTCTTCGAATTTTACTTCTATCAATAACCATTGTACTGTTACAGTAATTCACGATACCAACGTCTTGCAACACGGCACTAGCAATGGCTGCAGCAGCACGATCTGAAATGCGATCACATTCCTTTGAGATATTTGGAATGTTTGCTCTCATCTGTTTTTTCTCTGCTGTTCCAGTAGTTGGTACCTTATATATTGAGGGAAAATGGACATCAGTATCGTTGTCAGTTTCAGTATCAGAAGACGAACTGAATTCAACAATATTTGAAGACAATAGGGAGTTAGATGTAGTGGCTGTTGTTGGAGTTTTGTAAATATTGGAAAGTTTTCTTTTGCGATTATGGCGTTCTTTCAATCGATTTGTAACAACTTTATCTATACTTCCAATCATCATATTTCTTGTACTTCTTTGATCTTCTAAAAATGGTCTTTCTGCAACTGGTACCTTAAAACTTTTCTCACAATTGCAGTGATTTATGTCCAAGCATTTGCAGACTGCGATGTCAAACAACTAGGAATTAGCTTCTGTACAAAACTTTTGCATCTTTGCTTGATAGTTGATCATTCTGTTGCCTCTTTGAGCATATTTCGATGTTTGAGTTCGATGGCTTGAGCATATTTCGATGTTTGTCATGAAGCTCTTTTTCTTCGCTACAATCCGCTTGTGTGTTATAATTGGAATCGATGCTTTGTGCCACAATGCTTCGACTTTTGATGAAACACAACTTGAAACTTCAGCAACTGAAGGGATCTCTGCAGATCTATATGTCATTTTGTCTTTAAGGAACAAGTAATATTTCATCACATCAGCATTTGTGGGAAAAACGGTCTCTGGTAAATATGAAGAATTTCCAAAAATTGGGCAATTGGTACGAAGCCGTGTCTTGTGCTTCTTACACCCACTAACACCAGCCATTCTTGTTATTTTTGTTCGGATGTCACTCACAGATGCGAGGTTGTTTGAATTTTCTAATCTAAAATAATTTTCTAATCTAAAACAATAATATAAAAATAAAATAATTAATTTCTAACATAATAATTCAAACAAAATAATGTAAATACTGAAATTTGTAATTATAGGAAATTATTAACTTTTTCTCCGAAAACCACAAAATGCACGAAAAACGCCAATTTTCGAGTGCTTTGGGGTAGACCTAAGAATTAACCAAGGGCAAAATGCTTTTACCACAGTTGACCTTGTACTAAATGACAACTTTTGCATACCCAGCCAACTTGAATTTGCGATGATAGGAAATTATTATTTTTTAAGCCAAAAATGCAGAAATTAACGAAATATTCAAATTTTCAAGTGCTTTGGGGCAGACCTAAATATTAATCTAGAGCAAAATGCTTTTACCACAGTTCATTTTGTACCCAAAGGCAACTTTTCCATACCCAGCTCAAATGAATTTCCAAAAAAAGGTTTTTTCACTCCACCCTACTGCACATGTGATCTACTTTAAATTACATTCTCATATATAGATAAAAACTTACAACCAAATTTTCTAAGCTCAGTTGAGCGCAGTAGGTGCTAGGCTTTTTATTATATATGATATCCAATTGTAGATTTTGCTTTAAAAAACTAAAGAAGACGCATAAAGGACGATTTTTAATCATTTAAACTTGTTAAAATCTTTTTTAAATACTTTTAATGTTATTGTGGAAAGTTATGGAACACTCTATGACAACTATGTGATTTTAGTTAAATATTTTTTTTATTAGTAATTATTTTTGTTATGTTTAAGCGGTTTTTTAATGTAAATTTTTGTAGATTCTTGTATTGTGTTAATTTAAAGTAATTATGAGGAAAAAGATCTATGGAGAATAATAATAACAATTATTTGTATTTATGTATGCAAAAAGTTTCAATTTATGTAAAAATGAATACAATTATGTAATAAAAATAAAATAAAAAATAAAAATAAATACAATTATGTAAAAAAAAAGAGTTTAATAAAGAGAAATTAGTTTGTTTACAAAAAAAAAGGAATTTTAATTTATCTTAGTTTTGAAAGCGAGAAAACCCATCACCAAAGCGAAAAAATCATCCAGTACTTTTAGTTTTAATATTGTTTAAAAAACTTAAATGTCATTTTCATCTAAAATGTCATTTTCATCTAGAAAATTTCATATATATATAAAAATGTTAATAAAGCTCAATTTTATTGAATGTTATGTTTATATTTACAATATCAAAGAAATTAAGTACATAAAATAAATAAAAATCACAAAAATACCATCTTGACTACCCATGACCTCACTGACCTGTACGATCATAACCCCTCTTGGAGATTAAATATAACCAGATTTGATTTACCAAACCTCAAATTAGACAAACAACTGTTTCATCTAATTAAAAAACCATTGGGCACCCCATGACCATCCTTGAACCTCCTAAAATGACCATCTGAACGGTTATGACCACTTCCAGAGACAAAATATGCCCAGATTTGATTTCCCTCATCTTAATTACCTTTATTTAGACAAACAACATGTACCATCTAAATGAAAAATCATCGAGATATTCCAGGATTACCTTAAACACTCCTAAATTGATCACTTGAGCAGTCATGACCACTCCTGAAGACCAAATATGCCCAGTTTCAAATTTCCTGACCGCAATTACCTACATTTAGACATTCATGTCCTATCTAATTAAAAACATTAGGACATCTCAGGACCACTTTTAACCGCCCCAAAAACAACAATTTAAGTGGTCATGTCCATTTCTAAAGGTTGCATATACCCAAATTTGAATTCCCAGACTGCAATTACCTATATTTAGACCTACAACTTTTCCATCTAATTTAAAAACCATCGAGACACCCCATGACCATTCTTGAAAACCCCTTAAAAAAACCACTTGTGCGGTCATGACCACTCCAAACTTTAAATAGAGCCTAAAAATAAAATCCTTTGCCCCAAAAACCCTTTTAAACATGTACCATAAGTCTACATTTAACCCATAAATAGTTTAGTTATTTTTAGGCAATTCTGGCCCACTGTGCATTGTATCAGATCAAACCATTGCATTAGGTCAAACCAATGTATCAGATCAAACCGTTACATCAGGTCAAGCCATTGCATCAGCTCAAACAAAAGCAATACAAAGTAAATTTATAAATAAACATTTGCTGCAAAAACTAAAATCATGATTACATTTATTATTGGTGTATCAAAGCATTAAAAATTTTCTATGAAGATATTTCATTTTTTTGTATTTAAAATATAAAGTATAAAAACCTCTCTTTTTCTTTTTTCTTTTTTAATTGTTTGATTTCTTCTTCGGACTTTTGAACTAAGTTAAAAAACATTTAGTTCAAAATCTCATTAAAAACTTTTTATTTTATTTTATAATAATTTAAAAATTAAAATATTATCATAAAATTTCCATTAATTATACTTTTTATTATGCTATAGAAACATCTCCATACAACACACAAAATAAAGAAGACCTAGTTAGCAAAATCAAAAAACTTATTAACAACAATATCTTCCTTATAGTAACACACAAGGAAAATGGATTAACAACATTCTGCACTTACACTGGACATTATTAACAATGACCAAAAACTCTCCACACTGTTCTTGCCAAGACCTGTAATGACATACAGAAACACCTTTTCCCTCAGACTAATTTCTATTAAATATACAGATAATATTTCAAGTCACCCACTCATCATTCCACCAATATTTAGCAGAGAAAACATATTAGTAATATATATTTATTATTATCTAAAAAGTAACACTGCTTAACATGAAACTTATTTATGAATTAAAAAAGAATACAAACAGAAATGTCAGAACTGACACTACATAACCAAGTTTTAACACAACCAACAAAATAAAAATCAAGAAGATAAATGTACTATTGTGGTAGTACACAGAGATTAAAGCCAACACAGTATTCTTAAAAGTATGCCATACATAAAAAATATCAAAACAACTTATAAACCTTAAGACTCCCCTCAATTTTAAGAATAAAAAAGCAAAAAATAGTATTACAAAAAATTACTAGTTTATTATGTTAATTATAATAATTTATTATGTTTACATAACAGATACATAACATTTGTTTCACTGCGCAGATACCATATATTTTATCAAAGTTTTAAAGTTCTAGGGTTGAAACAACAATAGGTTTTAGGGTTGAAACAACAACAACAACAAAATAAAAAAAGTAAGTAATTCTGAACTAAGTAATCCGGAGCTTTGGAGAAGTAAGTGTGATCTGTTCTAGTTCAAGTAGCCGTTAGTTGGAAACATTCAAACAGAAAAAAAAACTCATAAACACTAACCCCTTCAAAAAATACAATACCTTTAAAATTTAAAAATTCATTTGATTTGTGTTTTTAACAATTTCCTGTTTTAAATCACATATTGCTAGCTGAGAATCAGAAGGCTGTATGTCAACTTTTTGTGTTTCCGAGAGAAGTTTTAGATTATAATATGTAAAGACTTTCTGCTAGAAAGTCCTAGTAAATATTTAAATATTTCCTAAAGTTTTATTATTTTTGGGACCGGATTTAGTAGACACTCCACGCGTCAATGAATATTTATTGATAATAAACAAAAAACACAAATTATCGAAATACAGCCTCTTGGTTCTCAGCTGTCAATATATTTGAAAACAAACAAAATAACAAAAAAAAACTAAAAAAAAAACATAATAGATACACAAGAAAATCAAATGATATATGAGATAATAATGAATAAATTAAGATAACAAATACGTTGTATACATTGTACGTTGTTATGGTTGTATAAGATAATACTTTAAGTTAAATTATAATACATTCAACAATACAACAAAATGTTTTTTGTTAAAACTTAAAAAGTTATACTCCTTTACCTAATTAAAAGAAAGAAGCAATAAAGAAAAAGGTTGAACAAAAAATGTCTAATATATAATGCTAACTTCAAAAAAAAATTTTAATTGGTAAATATTATTCTAAAATTAGAATAAAAAAGATTACTGTATTTGTGGTAAAGCACCTCTCCACCACTTACTCCTTCTTCTATCTTTAATAGTTCCAATTTCAAACGTGGACCAAGCTAAAAGCAAATTTAAACCTCTATAAATATTAACCATTTAACATACTTAACTTCTTAACAATACTAAAATCTCTATACAGAAGATCTCACTGATAGGTCAACATTAAATAAGTCTGGTAAGTAAGAATGCTTTTAGTCTTAGTGCATATATATTTCCCATTGTAATTTACTATTGCAAATTAGTTATTTAAAGTAAGTACTTTTTATAAGAGACAAACGATAGAGGTTTTATCATAGTGCACAATTAAAAGCAATCATTATTAAAATTGAAGAAGCCTGAGGCTAAATAAACAAGTTAAAAACACAAATGAAAAGCAAGAACAGTGCTGGACTTCATATACAAAATTCTAATGTTGCCATCACTCTCAAAAGCATCATAAAAACATAATTTATGAAGATAAACATTGTGTAATTATTATGTACTCTCATGAAAGCACTTTTTAATAAAACCTTCAAGTTTTCTTCAAAAAATTAATAAAATGACCTCTGTTAATTTGACAGCACTTTGTCCTGATTTTGTATTTCCTCTACCAGGTAATCTTTGAGGGAGTGTAACATGAGAGTCTGTAGGCTCTTCTCCTTCACTTTCAGATAAATACGCAGCTCTAAATAAAAAAAAATTTAAACTATAACAAATTAAAAAAAAGATTTTAATTATTTCATACAAATATGATACACCCCTCCTTTTTTGACACACCCTCTTCTCAAGTTCAAAGTTGTTTAGAAGGTGAGCACCTAAATAATTTAAAAAAATAATTCTACTATTCAAAATAATTTTTTTAATTTTGTAATTAAATCATACTGCAGACTCTTTTAAAATGTTTTTTTTTTAATTCATGGTTCCAAACTTGTGTGATTTGGACAGTTTTTCTAATTTATTTATAACATCATAAAAGAGTCAAACTAATTTTTTTACAACCAGATGTCTTTTCTGGTGATTTTATTTAACAAATCAAGATTGAGTTTTTATATGATTTCTTTTACACCAGTTTTATATTAGAGATATTCTTCTCTTAGGTATGTGGCCTTTACCGTGGCAATGTGAAGGCAACAAACCTACATTATAATTATGAACATCATCATGATAATGATGATCATCATCATGACCACCATCACAATCATGATCATGCTCACCATCACAATTATCATAATCATCATCATCATTTTAACATATTTGTATCTGCAATACATTTGCATTGAACATTGTAATTAATAATAAAATAGTAATAATAATAATAATAAAAATAATAGTAAACATGAAAATAAAAATATTAGTAAAAAGTAATAAATTTTTTTTTACCCAGTTACCAAGTCACTTATGTCATTCAAAGAACTAAGATTTGGAATTTTATTTTTCATCAGCTTCATAACACCTTTACTAATACCAACAGGAATCGCTTCAATGTTACTAAAAATAATTTATTCTTGGTTTTTTTTAAAAAAAACCTTTACATTTAACTATATATAGTTATTAAAATAATATAAATTTTAACAATTTAATATTTAATTTTATGAATATATAACAATTTTAATATTTAATTTTTGAATATATTTAATTTATAGTTATATTTAACTTAGTAGTATAAATAATAGCTGGCTATTATTTATACTACTGGCTATTAGTTATACAACTTTGTAAACAATAAATGAGTCAGAAATAAAATATTTGGATGGTAATAAATAATAGCAATATTTTAAATATTGCTATTCTTTATTAATTTTTTATATATTGTTATTCTTTATTAATATTATATATATTGTTATTCTTTTTCAACGTCAAAATATTTTATTACTGACTATTATTACTCATTTAAGTAATAGTATTGTTTACAAAGTAATATAACTAAGTAGTGATAACTGTTTAGTTTCTATAGAGTAATTAGTTGAGAAGTGCTTATATTTCGTACAGAAAAAAAGTATTGTTTATAAAGTGTATATAACTGACTAGTTAGACAGAAGGAAAAATTTATTTAAAAATATAAAAAATATATAAAAAATTAAGCACTTAAAATTAAAGAATTAATAGTAAAAACTAAAATTTCTTACTAATGACGAAAATCAATGCATCCAGATTCTTGATCAAAATTAAACATTGCACAACGGCGTATTTCAGCTAACTTAACCTGTTAAATATTATTGAATACAAATTAAAAAACCTGCATACAATTTTAACTATATGAGATTCAATGTAAAATAGATTAGATTTGTTCCAATGGCTGCAAAAATAAGCATAAAATTATAAATCTGCACATGAATTTTGCACAAAACACATCGATAACAGAATACTAAAACAGGCATTTATTAGGGCTTTATGTATGCAGTAAATGAGGAATTAAAATTTAACTTCTCTATATGATATTTCTTACAACAACAAAATTTAGTTTTTTTTAATACTTCTTGTTTAAAAAATGATATTGGTTAAAACCTAACTAAAATAAGCAAAATATATTGAGCATCTAGCTAAACTCTCAGTTGATTTATGTACTAAAGCCCCTACAGCTGTTTCAATATGTCACTTCATGCGCAGCTAATCCCCATTTATTGATATATAAACACACACACATATATATATTAGAGGGACATATGTGTGTGTGTGTGTGTATATATATATCAGGGCCTATTCTAAGAAAAAAATTTGGGCGGTGGTACCCCATTGTTCGAGCAAACGTTAGCGGAAAATCAGCAGTTTTTTTGAAAAAATAACAGTATTTGCCATAAAAAATGTAAAAAAAAACATAAAAAAAACACAAAAAGTCCTCAAATTTTAATTTGGGCAGAGCCCAAATTGAAGTCCAAATACGGTCGATGTTGTAAAAAATGGTCTAGAATAGCCCCTATATATACATACATACATATATATATATATATATATATATATATATATATATATATATATATATATATATATATATATATATATATATATATATATATATATATATATATATATATATATATACATATATATATATATATATATATATATATTTATATATATATATATATATATTAGAATGACAATTTTTTAATAATAGGATATTTTGTCATTGTTCTTCATTTTGGATAAGCCAACAAATTGCTGGAGTATTCCGATATTCCCTCCAGCACAACCAATTGTAACACTTAAGTTTTTGATATTTAAAAAAAACAAAGTTACTTGAAGATTCAAGATCTTTTAAGTTGCCTTTAGTATGAATGGTATATAACCAAACCTTAATCTCACTAACTAAATCCAGTTTCATAAAAATAAACCAACTATCCTGTGTAATCAAATCTCTCAATTGAGTGTTATTATTAAGAACAAAAACTGTTGGCTTTTCGAAGTTTATATGTTCAATATCAGTCACTTTATGCTGAAGTAAAGTTTCTAAAATGTCTGGTTGAGTTTGTAAATCAAGACGTGAATCAGCGAAAACCGTAATAACTGATTCATTCTTTTTGTATAATTTGTGCATTATTGAAATCCCTAAAGTCCTTTAAAACAGAATGCTTAGCAAGACTAGATTTTAAAAACAAGAGTGCATGGAAAATTCCGATTATAAAACACATCTTAGAAACATTTTCGACCCCACTGAAATGTTCAACCCCACCACGTCCCTGGTAGTACCGCGCTCAACTCGTTTCTCCGCGCAGCGGCCTTGTTTGTCAAGGTTCGTGTTTCGGAGTTATAGAGTTGAGAGAGGGTTATAGCCACAAAATAAGTAGCCTTCTTGTCTGTAGTGGCCTTCTCAGCCTTGAGTAGGTGAAGTAAAATAAAAAAAAAAAAAAAAAGTTGTGTTATTCAAAGAAAACTCTTTGCTTCAAAATACAAACTGTATATGCCAGAGCCAAAAATGAGTGAGTTCTCAGAAAACCTTTTAAATCTATATTTAGCACCAAGAGCAGAAATTAATGGCAAAAATTCCACCCATGGCCTCGTAAAGTTGAAATAAAGTTTATTATTTGGGCCTTTGCTTTTAATGCCAGTTATAGCTTTGTAAACATGTTTAATGTGCAGTTCGTACAGGGTGGCCAGTTAAAAATAAACTTAAAATTCCAGGATATTTCCAGGATTTTCAAGGATAATTTTGGATTATTCAAGGATTTATTTTCTCGACAATTAAATAACTAGTAAAAGCAAAATATACTTTCTTAGAACAAAATAACTAAATATATATAAATATATTTAAATACATAAGTATGTTTTGATATAAACTATTTTATTTCATATTTTTTTTTAGATTGCTCAAGTTTTTTTAATGAAAGGTCAATGTCTTGAATTGCTTGTTCTTTTTCTAAAATTGTGCTTCTAAAAGAATTTGCTTTTGCAAGAAAAGTAAAGTCTTTTTTTGCTTCTGCTTCGATGCTTAACTTATTAGCATCAGATTTAAGAACTTCAATGCACTTTGCAACACTTTCTTTTTGTTTTTTCATTACTAAAATATCTCCATCAATCAATTGGCGTTTCCTGCTTAATTCATCTACCTTTAATTGATCTTTGTTTTCTTTCAATACTATATTGTAACGATTGTATGCTAACTTACAACTTTTTAAAAGATCACTAGGGAGCTCATACTGATGTATGACAATGTCATGAGAATTAATGTGGTCATAAACTAATCTTTGAGAAATAAGAGATCTCTCTTGCAGATTTTCAACCAACAATTGTTTATTAACACTGAACCCTCGTTCTATTGCACATTGGCCGTGAGATAACACAAAAACGATAACACAGACTTTCCACAGTGCTGAATACTTCGGAATTTTATGCAAATAAACAGCAAAAAATTTATCAACAGAATCAGTTAACTCGTTGAAGGAATCAAATTTTTCATTAAATTGAACACATTCTGCACTAACAAATTCATCATATTGTTGTTTTGCATCATCTGCATTGTCAGATGATAACCATTTTAATGCACTTAATCTTTCAGCAAGAGCCTTGAATTTAAGAATGGATATTTCCTTGTTTTTAACCATTTCACTTGGAGACAAAGATGAAGCATTCCTCACAAAAGAATATTTCAAGGGGAATCTTTCTTGTAATTTTTGCAATAACACTACAATAATCTGCAATTTCTCTTCTGGTTTACAATTAAGAGAACTTAGCATCTGTTTTAGTGCTGCTCCGATATCAATTTTGTTTGCATCTAGTTGGCTATTGGATTTACCCACTTTAATCTTTGTTAAACTATAAGCAGTTGCAGCTTCTTTTAAAATTTTGATTTGAGAATCATTTTCATCAAACTTCGCAATATACTTTCTAAACTATTAGATAAAAATGCAACCATAGGTCTGTCTGTTTGAAATAGCACTAGAAACCCTTTCAATTTTTTAGCCAGATCTTTGAAAAACTGCATAGGCAAAGGTACAAACTTGTGTAGATGATGATCTACCAAAACTTTAGCTCTTATTTTTAGGACGTTTGCTTTTGCATAATGATTCCCAATACTTTATAATTTTAACCATGTTTGGCCATACAACAATGCCTCTAGAAGCTACACCTTCATCTTCTACCCAGCGAGTTGCACAGAAACTCGCAAAACAATAAAATCCAAAAATTTAAAGGCTGAAATGCTCTTAACTTATATATGAACAAAAAAAGATATGAATTATAATAAATTTTTTTCTTCTTAAACATGCATACTTACGGTAAAGCAAGCAGATCTGTTTCACAAACTCTAATATATTCATCTATTTTAGCTGGTGACTCTTTGAAAAGATTATACATTGCACGAAATATTTTTTCCAACTCCCACTTTTGGGAGTTTATTGCTGTCTGTAGGGCACCATGAACAACATGCAAGCTGCAACTGCCCATATTAAAAATGTCAGAATATCGTTTTTCCTGTCTATGCTCATTTAACATTTTAAGAACCTCCCAATTAACATTAGGACCATCCATTGAAACTTGAATAAGTTTTCCAAGATCAAAGATCTCTGTTGCTTCAATGAGTTTGTCAAATAAATTCTGTGCATTAGGGTGTCTGAGGAATTTTAAATCAATACATCTAACTTTTACAACACCTGAATTTGAATCCCAGTATCTAACTCCACAGTCCATTTGTTCATTTTTAAAGGTTACATTCATACTCTCATCATATGACAAAACAAAGATTGGCGATGCTCTGACTTCAGATATAAGTTGGTCTGGATAGTATGGCGCCAAACCAAAATTAATGAGGTAACCACATTTTGTTTTGCCTAATGCAAACTTTGATGCAATTTTACTGTCAGAAAACATAAATTTGAATATTTCATTTAAATTTAAGCATGATCTTAAAAAAAAATGTGACATGACAACATTTAAGGTCCATATTATTTCTGCCTTAGTAACCAAAGCTGGAGATTGAAGAACCTCTATAGTAGGCTGTGTAACTTTGTCATTTAAAACTTTGTTTGAATGAGGAGAAAGTTCTTGAAAATTACTGGAAGCTGCTTTATCACCAGATATTTCTGTAGTAAAATCTAAAAACGAAAAATAAAAATATATATACTGTAAAGTGCGCAGCTAATCAACTTGCTCCAAGCTTTTCAAAATTAAAAAACTAAATTAATTAAATATAATATAATTCTTTATAGTATATTTAAATATAAATATAAATAACTAAAAAATAACCTGTAAAAAATATACCAGCTGCATTATGTGTCCTTGCATGCTCTTTATGCTTCTTACTAGTTGCATGTGAATCTAACGCAGATACTCCCATGTTAGAAATATTAATATCTGTTCGACACCAATTACATCTTGCTTTCTTTGAATTTAAAGAACAAAATTTTATCCAAGAAGAATACTTTTTATTGTATAGCCATTCTGTCTGGAAACGGCAGTTTTTTTTTTTTTTTTTTTTTATTTGCATTCACTCCCAACAAGGCTGCAAGCAACCACTATTAAGTTAAAATTTACTAGGAAAAAAAAAAGAACAGAGTTATAGAGCAAGGAAACGGTTGACAGAAGACTTGAAAAGTTGAAGGTTGTATGAGTCAGGAAAACATGAAGATAGGAGAGAGTTCCAAAGGATTGAAGTGCGGGGAAAAAAACTAGATGAATAAAAGTTTTTAGAGCATGCAGGGGCAGATACAGTGCAGAGGACTCAGTAAGAGGATTGCCATTTATTAATATAGGAATGTTGACCATATTACGGCAGTTTTCGATCGCCTAGAACAAGCAGCTGATCTTGAATCTGATCTCACTTCAGTAATAGATTGGGGTTCACAGTGGCTTGTGAATTTCAACTCTAAAAAAACCCAATTGCTTACTGCAAACAACTACCGTAGTATGGTCAAGATTCCTATATTAATAAATGGCAATCCTCTTACTGAGTCGTCCTCTTTACGTCTTCTTGGATTATCGCTTACTACTGACCTTTCATGGAAACCATATATACAATCGATTGCTAAATTAGCTTCTGCTAAGGTTGCTTCTCTTTATCGTGCTCGCCATTTCCTTACTTCTGATTCCATTCTCTACCTCTACAAATCTCTTATTCGTCCCTGTATGGAATACTGTTGTCATATTTGGGCTGGTTCTTCTAACGATTCACTTTCTCTTCTTGACAAGGTCCAAAAACGCATTGTAAATGTTGTTGGACCTGGACTATCTGCTAAGCTTGAACCTCTTTCCCATCGTCGTAAAGTTGCATCTCTTTCTTTTTTCTACAGATACTATCATGGTCACTGCTCAGAGGAGTTATCATCTCTAGTTCCATCAACTAAAATTCATTCTCGTTTTACTCGTCATTCAGCTAAGTCTCATTCAATTACTGTATCTGTCCCAGCATGCTCTAAAAACTTTTATTCATCTAGTTTTTTTCCCCGCACTTCAATCCTTTGGAACTCTCTCCCATCTTCATGTTTTCCTGACTCCTACAACCTTTAACTTTTCAAGTCTTCTGTCAACCATTTCCTTGCTCTATAACTCTGTTCTTTTTTTTCCTAGTAACTCCCAACTTAATAGTGGTTGCTTGCAGCCTTGTTGGGAGTGAATGCAAATTAAAAATTGATCAGATTCAAGATCAGCTGCTTGTTCTAGGCGATCGAAAAGAGAAGACTTTTTGTCAAGACAGGAGTATAACGTTGAATCATCAGCAAAAAGAGCTACTTTAGATGAAAGGTTGTCAGGAAGATTGTTTATGTAGATAAGAAACAAAACAGGGCCCAGGATGGAACCTTGGGGAACCCCAGAAGTTACTGGAAATAAAGAAGAGTGTTGGCCTTCAAGGATGACTTTAATAAACCGGTTAGAAAGAAATGATTTGATAATCTCAAAAACTTTCCCAGAAACACCATATGAAACAAGCTTATGGAGAAGACCAGCATGCCAAACTTTGTCGAAAGCTTTAGATATGTTGAGAGCAATAGCCCTAGCCTCACCGCCTCCATCTAATGCACGATAAAATCTTTCAGTTACAGCAGTTAGCAAGTCGGCCGTAGAGCGAGACGATCGAAAACCGTATTGATTGTCTGACAGCAGTTTATTTGACTCAAGATGAGATGAGAGGAATTTGTTGATCAAAGACTCAAAGACCTTGCTAATAACAGAAAGAAGACTGATCGGCCGATAATTGGAGGGGTCAGAATTTTCTCCAGAGTTTTTGAATATTGGAACCACAGATGCCATTTTCCAACAAGCAGGAAAACAAGACTCAGTCAAACACTTGTTAAATAGTTTAGAGAGAATTGAAGAAAGTTCTGGAGAACAATTCTGCAAGACTGTGACAGGAATGTTGTCTGGACCACAAGCTGTAGACGAGTTTAATTGAGATATGACTTTAGCAACAGAAGCCGGAGTGATTTGAATGTCTAACAATGGGTCAACCTGTTTGACTGGAATGGAAGGAAGAAAATGTCCATAAGATTCAAGAGTGGAATTAGAAGAAAAGTTCTTTGCAAACAGTTCTGCCTTATCCCTAGGAGAGGTAACAAGATCAGTCCCATGAATGAGAGATGGAATGTTAGATCTACCCTTGTTAACAATGCTGTTGAAGATTTTCCAAAAGTCTTTAGAGCCTAACTTCTGCGATAAGATGCGAGATTTAGTGAACTGAGAATAATGGAGTTTAGCATCAGAAAGCACCTTTTTACATCGATTTCTTGCAATAATAAATAGCCATTTGTTCTCAAGAGAGTTGTTCTTTTGAAAAAGATGAAAAAAATGATTACGATTGGATATAGCAGCCGCACAAGAAGGAGAAAACCATGGAGTAGAATGAGGCTTGACTTGAAACCGACGAGAAGGAATAAAAGCTTCCATTCCAGCCTGAATCCAGGAGGTTGCATAGGAGGCGCATTTGTCAGCTGAGCGAGAAAAAACATCAGCCCAAAGACCATCACGAAGAAAATCACGAAAGGAATCCCAGTCAGCTTTAGGGTAGTAGTAGGTGGTGCGATGATAAGGTGAGCCCAAAAAAGAAGTACGAGAAGAAAGATTTACAGAGATCATTGCGTGGTCAGAACCACCTAAGGGAGAAAAGGGAGAAACTGAACATAAGCTAGGGTCAGAGACAAGACATAAGTCAAGGAGTGAAGGTAAATGATTAGGGTTGTCAGGAAAACGAGTCACAAAGTTAACTATCTGAGTAAGAGATTGAGAAACGCAGAAGTTAAAGGCTTTAGTGCCAGCAGGATCAGTGGTGTTAGAGCCAAGCCATTCAGTGTGATGGGCATTAAAATCACCAACAACAACAATATTGGCAGAGGGGTAAAGAGAGAGGGCATGGTCAATTTGATCAGAGATAACATCTAAAAGAGTGCAATCATGGGAAGAAGGAGAACGATAAAGAACGAAGAGAAAGGTGATAGAGTGAAGAGGTGCTAGGCGAAAGCACATAAAAGAATGGTCAAAGGATTCGAACCTGATTTCACGACAAATAGGGGAATTAATGCGTATGTAAACCCCTAAACCTAGCATGTGACTATTGGAGTCTTTACGAATCAAAGGATAGTACCCATCAACACTGACATCTGAAGAAGGAATTGCAGAACTTAAATTTGTTTCACTGAGTGCAAGTAAGTCTGGTGAATTTTGCAGGAGGTAAGACTCAACTGATGGAAAGTTGCTTCGTAGACCGCGAATATTTGTAAAAGATATATTAAAATAATTAGGTGGTGGGTATGGTTTTTTAGGTTTTAAATTTTTGGTTACTTTGGTCATGATTTGGGTTTAATGAGAACTTGACTCATTCATAGATAGAGCACAGCCTCCTAATCAATGAGCTATGCAGTTGTCTCAGTCCTGTTAATTAACCCTAAGCCGTGACATAGGGCTCCTTATGTGGCCTTGACAATGCACACCAAAAGCATTAACAGGGACACCATCCATGCGCAACATGGCACTGTTAATACTCTGATATTTTGCAGCTGTTGATGGAATCAGCCTCTCTGAGAGCTACCACAGAGTTCGGGAAACCTTACTACCAGCCGGCCTCAGAACCATTAAACTGAGTTTTAGAGCTGTACCCTCATATGGAGATAACAGGAAGAGTTGCATAGCCATTATCATAGAGGCATAAGCAAAATTCTATGAGTAGAGTCAAGGAGATCCAGCATTCATCATCCTAGGCAGGAAACACAGGTTACATCTACGCCAGCCTAATAGATGAAGAAGGGGTTCGAGGCTGGTTAGCAGAATTTTTCTGCTTACCCCTAAAGTCTTTGCCTAGAAGGCCTTCTACAAGACAGTAGCAGGATGCAGTTAACATCTGCCCAAGATGAGTATTTTTATCGAGACACCATCTCTAGCCTTTACTCAACCAAGAGCCCCAAGGCAGGGGATGTTTAGTTCTTTGTTTTAGGCATTATTTTAGTGATATATATATATATATATATATATATATATATATATATATATATATATATATACCCTTATAGTGTAGTCGAAAGAGCGTTTTAATGTAAAAAAAGTCTCTTACGACTAAAATTTTAATTA